ATAGTTAAGACCAACAAGCAGCAACATATTTTAATATTTTAAGTACCAACCAAAGGTTTTCTAGGAATGAAATGAGAGCAAACATGCTCCTCAGTGGCAGGAAAGCAACAGCTATCCAAATAAAAGGCTTTTTTTTTTTTTTTTTTTCCCAGGATTATTTAAAATACCCAAACAAACAGCTTGCAGAAGTTCTGATACACTCCAAGGACACTGTTTTCAGCAGTATTTTGTCATGCCTCTAACTTTTAGCAGTAAGTAAATGTGTTGCTCCCATTTATAGTACCATACTCTTTAACATCACCAGGAGAAATGAGCTGGTAGATAATGGTAAAACATTATTAGACAAAATTATTGATCACATGGAAGTACCGACTAACGCCCATTATCACACTGCAACACATCCTTCTTTAGAGTAAGACCATTTTTATATCACTTAAAAATGAGCACAGACTAACGAGGCACACATTCGTTGAAGATACCACAATCAGATACAGGAAGGATGCCAGGTCTCGTCAAGCAAGCGAAGGAATCAGAGGTGAGGTACAGCAGGTAGCAACCGGGGCGCTAACATTCAAACCTGGCTCTCCCAAACGCACTATTAATTATCTTAATTTGCTTTTTCACACGCCGCATTAGATTAGTGCACAAGAAAGGAGCAGAGTTTGTTTCGGCACGCTGCAGATGCAAAGGAAACCAGAGCTCTAGCGGTAAGATTTCTGGTGGAACAAAGGGCACCCTCCCTGCCTCAACTCCACCCTGGCGCTGGGCAGCAGCACTCAGTACCATTGTTCCCAGGGACAGAACAAGCTCTGCCAGAGACTGTTCCAACAATACCAGTTATGGTTACACAATATTAACTTATTGCAGCGTATTCCCATCAATAACAACAGTGGGGAACCTGCAGTAAGGTACGCAGACCTATGTCGATGCTTTTCAACGTTTCACAGCTATTCACCATGTTTTACTCTGTGCTGCAGCACACGAAAAAGGCTGCAGAAAGCCAAACCAGAGACCTTTCATGCACCTATCTTTTTTTCAGCACTAAAATCCTTAGATCCTTCCTTTCTTCATCTGCGGCTTTGCTTTTCAAACCAGTAGTAGGAAGAGCTACGCCCTTGATCTAGTCAGAACACACTTAACTTTATTTCCACTAAAGCATCAAGTTACCCTACACGCAGATTTCTCAGTAAATCACTGCTCATCAAAAGCCACCACTGTTACTAACAGACACACATATGGATACACAAATATATACAGAAAGTGTCACCTGTCAGCAAAAAAATGTCTTAAGCATTATAAACAGTTTCAGAAAGATGAAGGTGTCCGTTCTCTGCACAAACTGCCATTTTTTAAAACACTTTACTATGAAAACTGAGGTTAAACATGAACTTGAGTAAAAAGATGAATTACACAACAGTATTCTGTTTACACAAGTATAGCAATACACTGTGAATCCTGAGAATATAAAAGCAATCCTTCAAAGTTTTGTTACTTTAAAACACCATTTTTTAAGCCATAGAAAAGTAGTGAGACACCTAGAAAAGAGAGTCTAACACAGGAGCAAAAGTAAATTTGCAAATTAGTTTATTACAACTGTATTCCCTCTATTATACTGTTTATAACGATCAAGAAATATTTTGCTTTGCATTATGGTTCCACATTCTGGAATAATAGCAGTGGGGAGTTTTTCTTCTGCCCGCTGCTAAGGGATTGACTAATGGAGTAGATCTGGATGAACAAATACATTATCCTTAATACCTATAACCTCTTGAATTAGGGCACACAGAGGAACAGTTTGATTTTTATAACTCCAGTGACAGAAGGCATAAAAAAAAAAAAATTAAAAGCCCTGAAAGTATGCAGTTACATCTGAAATCTTGAGTAAAGGAAATAACTTTAAGGAATGAAATCAGATTGCTATTCTAGAGCTTGCAGCAAACACTGGACTGAAAAACTACATACAGCATTTGGACTGGTCATGAGACCTTTGTCTTCCTAAGGGGATGGGGGAAGAAACTTTACAGATATACTAAGGAGAAGTATGGTAATAGTCTGAAAACCACTAGCTATGTGTTAGTTCTGCCAATATTCTTTTCTTCTATTGAAGCAGCTGACACTTTCCTCTGTTATAACCTCCTGATCTTTGTTGTTTCACTTAAAATGACTGATGGTACCTCAAGACAACCAAAAACTTGAAAAATTAACACTGTTACAAGTCTGCTATTACCCGTTTATAAAGCACTTGCTTTAAACACTCAAAAAGCAGTGTGCAGTTTAAAAGCATAAATGTCTGTCTCCCAGAGCTTCAGTCACAATAAAGCACTACAGAATTACATCCATTATTGAGCAGGTTATATGGAAAAAGGCACTGTATGTAAAATCACCTCCATCTGTGTGTTTTGTTTTAATTATAATTTTAATTATTTTAATTATTTGCAAAAGCATCAATAGCACTTTTTAAGCTTAAGCATCTTACCATCTAGGCAAAGCCAAGAAGCACCCTGGATGCTTATGCACCTG